ATCAAAAGAACTCTAAACAAAAATCCTTGAATGGAAAAAGTTTTTAACTTACATTTGGACTGGAATGATCACCGAACTTAAGAACAACATAGTTAGTCATACGTGATGTTGGCGGGATAAAATTCTGCCTGTTCTGTTCCACTAAGCTTTTCAAATCCACACTACACCAGAATATAACCACCCAGATAAGTAACTCTTCATAGACTAATATAGCACAGAAATATTACCTATTAGAGACTTTTGCTTTCAACTCTTCCACCATTTCCACAAAAGATTCAGTAAAATATATGCCAAGTACACGATCTTCGGGTCTCTAGTCTAAGGCATGTGCATTAAGATTTTGGGGATTTTCATTTGTAGAGTTCACTAAATACAATTTTCCAACTTATTTCAATTTTTCTGCTTCTCAGCAAACAGCCAAACACTAAGTCGACTTTAATAATCTCCTTTTATTTCACACTTTCCATCACATTATCCTCAATATTCATGATTAGTTTATTTCCGAAAGTTGAAAAATAAAATATATTCATGAGAAAATATTAAACGAAGACCAAACCTAGTAGAGAAGAAATAAGCTCGAACATGAATAGAAGGCTTATTGTCCTCCTCCAAGCTGCCATAATTACCATCTCCAACCTCCGAGCACGACACCGTTTCATTCCAGTCCACGGCGTGCTGCTGTTGAGCTGAAGAAGTAGTAGAAAAAGCAGAAATGCACCTTACCACTATCAGAGAACCAAAATCCGGGTCAACCTTCCGGGTTGTGGTAAAAGCGGTAACAGACAAAGGAGAGAGAACTAGGGTTTTGGAGAGAGAGCGCAGCTGCGATGATAGTGGAACTGGAAGCGGCGGCTTCTGCTTCGGAATTGCGTGGGAAAGGATTGTGCGGAAGGGGGCGTGGCGGATGGTCTTCAAGTGGGCGTCTATGCTGCGCCACATCTTCAGTTGAGAAAGCTAGGAGTCAGAAACTGCAAAAGCGTAAGACGACATATTTATGTTTTTTTATTTTTCTAAAAAAAAAGGAAATTACTTTTTATATTTATATTTTTCACTTGAATAAATTTTATAATTTTTTAAATCTTATTTGAAGGCAACTTTTTAAAAACTTAATAAAAATAAATGGATTAACCGATAAATTTGAAATTAAAATAATAAAATGTTTGATTTTTTTGAAGAACTTTGAAATTACAAGAACAAGACTGATATACCTTAAATTTGTTCTATTAAAGCTTAATTTTCAATCAAATAATATAGTAAATTATCTTTCTGGGTAAAAAAATTGTCAAATCTGAAAAATTACGAAAAAAATAATTTAATCAAAATTAAAAATAAAAACTAATTTGAACAAAATAAATTTGAAATTAAAATGATCGAAACGACGACGTCTGGTGATTCTTAATTGAAATAGTTCCGATCGGGCTTCATCTCCATAGGGTTTAAAGACGTTTGCAGGGTTTTTGGTCTGATTCGTCGTCTCTAACAATGAGGTCTTCGCTCGCCTCTTCACGGATCCTTCCGTTCACTCTCTGTTCAATAAAGAACGCTAAATATAAATGCTCTTTACCGGACGTTCCTAGTATACCCATATCGGAAGAATCAAAAATTTCTGCGAATCTCGACCCAAACACCGCCTTTCTCGAGAAATCGGCCCCAGAATCCGATGCACACGGAGACCGAGCTGCCCCAAGTTCCTTTTCCGAACCAATATCAGAAGACGAATGTTTGACGCAAACCCATGTCATCAACACTCTGCTAAGTCGCAAAAATCATCCCGAATCGGCTTTGAGGTACTTCCGTCGCGTCGAAAAGAGGCGTGGGTTTGTCAAAGGCGTTGATTCATTTTGTGTTTTGCTTCACATCTTGGCGAGTTTCCCACGGACACATGAGCAAGCCAAGAAATTGCTTAACGGGTACGTGTTGGGTGATTCAGATCCCCTGCCTAGTATTTTAGTCGATCGCTTGGTGGAATGTGCTAAAAGCTTTGGCTTTGAATCTGATTCGCGTGTGTTTAATTTCTTGTTGAATAGTTATATTAGAGCTAAACGTATAGATGATGCTGTAGATTGTTTTAATGGAATGATAGAACACGGTATAGTTCCTTGCCTGCCATTTATAAATATTCTTTTGACGGCATTAGTTAGGAATAATTTAATTGATGAAGCTCGAGAGTTGTATGAAAAGATGGTTTCCAGAGGCGGTAACAGGGATCATGTTACAGTACATCTGATGATGCGTGCGTGTTTGATAGAAAAGAAGCCTGAGCAGGCGGAGGAATATTTTAAAGAGGCAAAGGCTAGAGGTGTAGAACTTGATGCATGGGCGTATAGTATTGTTATCCAGGCTGCTTGCCAGAGAGGAAATTTGAGTATGACTTTTAGATTGTTGAGGGAAATGAAAGAAATGGGATGGGTTCCTTCTGAGTGTACATTTACTAGCGTCATTGCAGCTTGTGTGAAGCAGGGAAACATGGTAGAAGCATTAAGGCTCAAGGATGAGATGCTGAGTTGCGGGAAGCCTATTAATGTGGTGGTCGCGACCAATTTGATAAAGGGTTACTGCAAGAACAGTGATCAGACAAGTGGTTTGGATTTGTTCAGTAAGATGAAGGAGGAGGGGCCTCGTCCAAACAAGGTTACGTATTCAGTTTTAATTGAATGGTATTGTCAGAATGGGAACATGGAAAAGGCATATGAGCTTTACCTGGAAATGAAATTCATGGGTATCCAACCAGATGTCTTCCACATCCATTCCTTGGTACAAGGATTCTTAAAGGCTCAGAAACTCGAAGATGCAACAAAGCTGTTTGATGAGGCCATTCAGTGCGGTGTTGCCAACATTTTCATTTATAATGGTTTTTTGTCATGGTTTTGTAAGGAGGGTAAGTTAAGTGAAGCTAGCAGTTTGTGGGAAAAGATGGTGAGCAGGGGAGTGCAACCTAATATGGTTTCATACAACAACATGATTCTTGCTTTCTGCAAAATGAAAGATATGGATAAGTCATACTGTTTATTTTTGGAGATGCTTGAAAATGGTTTAAATCCAACTGCTGTCACATATTCTCTTATGATTGATGGGTATTTTAAAAGTGGTGATCTTGAGCGTGCCTTAAATGTCCTAGATCTAATGCACGGGGCAAATATTGCTCCTACTGACTACACCTTCAATACAATTATCAATGGTTTTTGTAAAGCCGGTCGAACATCTGAGGCGAAGGATAAGTTGAAGGAGTTTGTTGAAATGGGTTTTGTTCCCATTTGTATGACTTACAATACTATTATAGATGGTTACATAAAAGAGGGTGCCATCAATTCTGCTTTGACAGTTTATGGAGAGATGTGTGAGAATGGACTTTCTCCAAATGTAGTCACATACACCAGCCTTATTAATGGGTTCTGCAAAACTAAGAACATTGGTCTTGCTCTGAAAATGACGAATGAAATGAGAAACAAAGGGTCTTGAACTTGATATTACTGCATATGGTGCTCTAATTGATGGATTTTGCAAGAAGAGAGACATGGAAAGTGCACGCCAACTTTTCACTGAACTCCTTGATGTTGGGTTATCTCCAAATACTGCTGTTTACAATAGCATGATTAGTTGCTTCCGGGAATTTAAATAACATGGAAGCAGCTCTGGAAATGCATAAGAAAATGATAAACGAGGGGATTCCTTGTGATTTACATACATATACTACATTAATTGATGGATTCTAAAGGAGGGTAAACTACTCTCTGCATCAGAACTCTACTCAGAAATGCTTGCCAAGGGTATACTGCCTGATGCTGTCACATATACTGTACTGATAAATGGTTTTTGTGGGAAACGTCAGCTAGAGAATGCATGCAAGATCTTGGAAGAGATGGATGGGAAGAGCATGACTCCGAATGTTCTGATTTATACTGCATTAATTGCTGGGTATTTTAGGGAAGGGAATCTGCAGGAGGCCTTCAGACTGCGTGATGAGATGCTTGACAGAGGTCTTCAACCTGATGATACTACTTATGTTATACTTGCAAGTGGAAAAGTTAGAGGGGAAAATTTACTTTCTGGAGCTGCATTTCCTGAACCTAAAATCAATTAAGTATTTGTTTTGATGTAATTTGAGCTTTATTTTGGTCCTTTTATTTAGGGCCAAAAGGCATTGCTAAAGGTACTTTTCCCGCATTCCTGCTATTTTTCATCTATCAGCCTAATTTTCCAACCAGAAGGCATTTCCTATTGTAACTTATAAATTTGTTTTGCAGGACTGAGGTCATTAACTCATATTGGCATTTTTTCTCGCGATGAGAAACTATGTAGATGCTGACATTCATAAGTTGACTTGAAAAATTCAAGGATGAGCCTCAAAAAGGTGCATGCAGAACAAGGCCATTTTCATGGTTAGTTCTTAATGGTATCTTTTCCACTTCTGCTTTGGGTGTGCTGTCCACATCTACTAGTGCTTATGATTGCTAAAAAGATGAACCTTTTTATTTCAAAAGAAAAATGTTGTTAAAAAGAAAGCATTAACAATGTTGAATTGTATTTGTACATGATTAGGGTGTGAAGGAAAAGATGCCCAGGAAACTGCATATTATATAGGTGATAGAAGAAAAATTGCACCTAATGTGGGTCATCCAAGTAATTTTGAGGTAAATACCTTCTATTAAATCTGAGCCCCTTGAGGAGTGATTGCTACCTTTAGTTAATTTACCATTTTGAAATGCGATGAAGCACCAGGTCCTGCTACTGCTGTTGTAGCTCCTTGTTGTCTTTTTACCCCTCCCAGGACCAGTTGTAATTCATCAGGATCGAACAGGAATTTCAAAGGCCAGAATAGTAGCTGTTGCAAATTAAGTTAACACCTGTCACCAGAAAAGGACTTCAAGCTCATGCCTTTCATCTTAAAGTAAATAATCTATCCTATGGGACTTGGTATCGTTGTATCACATATCCTCCTGGAGGTCAGTGATGGTGCATCCTTCTTTTATTTGATGTGTAGTGTCTACCACTCTTTACCAATTTCATGTCTTCTATGATATATATATATATGTATATGTAGTATTGCATTGAATGCCTTGATTTTATCTTTCAGAAGCTTATTAGAAAAAAAAAATGTATGACAATCCTGTACTAAGAGGAATTTGAATCAACTTAAAAGTTCATTCTAGTTGGTTGTCTATGTACTTAGTTGTGTCTATATATCTGCGCTAATGAGCAAACACATATATTCCTGCTGGATCATGCCAATAAAGACTCTGATCATGGTCGCATAATCTTTGAATGCCAATCTCTATTCACAACCTGCAGGATCTTCTCTCTGCCATAATTCACAAGTGATTACCTTCTTGTTTACCAGGTTGTGTTCATTTTTCTTAAAACTCGTGTCAGCCAACATTATACCTCAATGTTATTGGTCTGCAGAGTTGCAATGAGAGCAAATGAAGGAAATCTATTATGCAGGCTGCTTTTGGTTGGATGGTTAGTACTTTTACCATTCTCTTCGAGGGTGTGGAGTTCGAGTTTTAAACTGCACACCTCTTGTCGTATGATAACTGATAAAAAAAATTCTTTTGCATCTTCTCTTTTCAGTGTGTCTGGAGATAAAAAACAAACTATATGCATTGTCTGCTATAATGAGTTGGATATACTCCCGCATGGTTCATTTCCTGTTTTATTTCTTTACCTAATTATTGGAATGCTATTACGTTGCATTTGGTTATAACCAATTATCTTCTCATTTAATTCCTAGATTTTGTTAGCTAACATGTAGAAGATAATCATAATTTACAAACTTGGACATTTGATGTGTAATTAAGCTGACTTATTTTCTATCTTCAATTCTATAACCATATATTTGTATTTTCACCTGTCAGAAAAGAATTACAAAAAAATATGGAATTGTCTTAGAATTAGACTGTTGTTTTCGTGTAAATAGGAAATAATAATTGTTAAACTAAAATGTCTCATTTTTACTCTATTCTTATTTCTATCTTAGTATTGTGATCTATTATATAGACACTGTTAAAGTTGGTACCCAATTCGGTGTGCTTGACGTCCCTCATCTTTCTTGTAGCTTGCAGAGTATTTAACTGAAGGAGAAAAATTATATTCCCCGGAGGCCCTTTGTGCAATATGCGGAGGAATGCAATGGGTTTCTTCCTTGGTGCAATGATTTTTGCTATTGATGCTTCACTCCCTCTATGCAGATTGGAAATCGGTATGTTTGTTTTGGGATACGGGAATGAGATACAACACCTTGGAGTAGCTTTAGTTGATAGGCTTTTCTGATTGTGAGGGTAAGTTAGTGATATTTTTGTAGTTCCTTGATTGAAATTGAGGAGTCTAGATCTGAACTACTAAAACTATTTGGATTTAGAAATATGAAGCTTCAACCATCTGTACTGTGGGTGAAAAGAACTGTTGGAAGCTGAAGCAAGGAGGTCTTAGGGCATGGGTTTAGTTGGCATCCCAAGTACTTATCTGTTTCTACTCTAATGATCTTGCCAGTTATAGATTTTTTTTTTTTTTTTTTTTCTAATTTTATAAAGTGAAAATTCATAAAATTTTATAATTAGATGATAATTGTACACTAATAACCACACAATTAGAGTTTTATACTCTAGAGGTGAAAGTAACAAGCATATAGCCAAAGGATTGATTGTTGGACTAAACCAGCAATTGGTGTCAAATTTCTCTCACATTTGAACAATTTCATATGATACAAAAAATCTGATGATTGTGATGTAACAAGACAACACCCAACGGAGGTTGATTGCAACTTTGTCCACCAATATCTTCTTCCACTTATATATATATATATATATATATATATGTATGTATGTATAACTTTGATAAGGTTCCTCATTCTACTGGTGGGTTGATTTATTTTTTAATAATCAAGTGCTAAGTTGATTATTATTTGTAATCATTATGATTATTACTTGCTTATTACAAAATATTTATTTTGTTTAAAAATATAATAAGTTTGTTGAGAGCTAACTCAATTTGATTGTTGTAGTTTTAGAAGGTTTAAATTGTAACCTGATTTTAAAAAAGAGTGATACAGATAAGTCTTAAATATTTGTACTAAACTTCAAATAAAAATCATATAGAAATTGTGCAACTCTTGTTGACCTAAATTATCATGGAATTTCAAATAATATGTGCAAAAAATAGTTCCTCATAAAATACCAACTATATATGGGTCTATATATGCTTCAAAACTTAATATATATATATATATATATGTATATAGACACTCTGAAGTAAATACAAGCTGCTACTTTACCATAAATTCTACCTCACCTAACTTTCTAAAATACAGCACCATTCATGCACCAAAACTGGAATTATGAGAATTTTTGATGGTTGACAAGGCAGAGATTTTGGGTAGGATTGTTATTGTTATAGTGTATCTTTTGTTGAAGGGTAGCAGTAGAAGAGAATCCTGATGATGCTGCTATATTCAAAATAGGCATTTGACCAACATTCCCATTGCTTTGCCATGTCCACGACAACGAAGATCTCATCGATGAAGCTGCTTCTATTGCCCTCTCTCCGGTTTGTTCCTGTCGAGTATGAAATTTGTTATTTTTATTTTTTAATTAACTGCAAAAGAAGAGAGAGAGAGAGAGAGAGAGAGGAAAAAGACTAGAATTAAAAATGAAATAAATTTAAGTACCCTGAGGTTTGGTGATGAAACAGGATACATCCCAGACAATAAAGTATTAGGATTTGGTTGTTGCCCACCAAGATATGCAGAAGCAGAAGTCTCAAGCTGTCCAAGAAGAAAAATTATGAGCAATCAATCATAACATATATGTTTATGCATATAAATTTTCACTCTAGGTTACTAAATTAACTAAAAAATTAATTTGTTTACCTTTAAACTTACATGTAGGAGCCCATTTAAGATACAATTAAAAAAAAAAACATAAAACAATTGTCAAAAACAAAAAAAAAAAAAAAAAAAAACCCTAAGGTTTAAGGTTCAAGAAAGTCAAACCATACAGGCAAGCCTATATTTTTCTTTGGATCAATCAAACTGTTGAGATTTGATTTTAGAAATTTAATTATTGAAAGTTGAGGTTTTCATAATTTTATACAGAAACCCATGTAGTTATAAAACACAAATAAACTCAAAAGAAATGTTAATTGGAACTTTACCAGTGACATCCCTTTCAAGGGTGTTTCACTGCTACAAGCCTGCAAATCCCCCACATTTTCTCTCCTACTTGGAGTAAGAGAAATTCCAAGGCTTAGGTCGAGGTTCTGGCCACTTCCTGCAACCAACTCATCGAATTTAAGACACCGAAAATTTATGAAAAGGAAATTGAATGAATGTAGCATATATAAGAAAACCAATTTTACTACCTCCATTAATTTTGAAGTTACTTTGCTCAAAATTGGTTACTGCTTCTCTTCCATTACACTTAGTGGCTGCCATGTCGTAAGCACTGAATTCAAAAACCGGAATTACAGTTTTAAATTCAAAACCAATCTTGATTCTAGGATTCATTTCAGAAGAATTAATATGGTTAATTACAAACAACTTCTTAACATTTCTCAATAAATGTCAAGTTGTATTTTAGTATGTATTATATTATATTCACTTGATTGTTAAATGATAAAATATTAGCTAGAATTAACAGAAATCATAAGAAACCAAACTAGACTAGAAAACAAAGGTGTCTTAGATTGCTAAGGACTAAAATAAAATAACTTCAGTTTCATGGATTCTTACTTCTTTCCAAGGAATTGTCCAATTCTAGCCTCCCAACGGCCGCATTTATGCAGTGTCACACCTCGGAATCTTGAACTTCCTCGGGAAAACCCGGTGCTCTGTCTACGGAGAATGTGAACAAATTCTTCTTTACTCAAGTGTCTCATCTGCACGTCAGATTCAATTACAATAAGAATTCCAGAAAATCTTACTTGGACTAATAATTACTCTTTGTTATATGTTGTTTACCTGTCTCCGATTCAATTACAACAAGAACTCCAGCAAATCTAATTTGGACTAATAATTACTCTTGTTATATGTTGTTTACCTGTTTGATCTCGTCTTTGTAGTCGGATAAACTGAAATTGATATCGGCATCATCTCCTCGGAATTTGATAGCAGCTCGATCATATGCTCTGGAAAAATTATAATAACAAAAAAGCTCAGATTCTGAATTGTTATTCCAAGATTTTCAGTCGAATTTTTTTGCATTTAAGTAATTAATTTGACAAGAAAATGAACTCCTTACCTTGCTGCAGCATGAGCAGTGTCAAACCCACCTGCAGAAAGAGAAGAAAAAAAAAAAACCTCTTCATTTTTCTGATCTGAATAACCATGAAGAAGTTCTAGCAAAAAAATCAAATGAAAAATATAAATCATCCGAAAGAAATCATAATTTACCTAAATAAACTTGCTTCCCACAATCCCTGTACACACCAATTTAAGTAAAAGCATTAGATAATTGAAAAATAAATAAATAATGTATAATATATATGTATGTATAGGTGAATATATTTTTATGTGTATTACCATATATGTGATTCCCAGCGACCTGTTCGCCGGTAGAAGGTGACTCCTCTGTACTGAGAGCTTCTAGACCTTGGCCCTCTTCTGCTTTTCTTCACCTTTTGAGGCACAATTTTCTGCCCTTCAATTGCCTCCGCGCTACCCTTAGCACATGATAAATTGAGCCATTGACGGTCAAGCCTTACCGAACTCCCTACCCCGAACCCGAACTCTACTCCAGGACCACTTTTTTCTCCGGCGACCGGAAAAAGTTGCTGGGTAACAGAATCCGGTGACGGATATTTCTCGTCTCTGTCGTCATCATCGTCAACTCCTCTCTTGATCAAGATGTCAAAATGAAAGCGGAGCCGGTGTTGTTGGAGTAGTCCTCGTCACCGGCATTGGTCGGAGCTTCGTCGAGGGAGTTGATTATGGAGGAGTTGGAGGTGCCGGAATATTCTTCCTCCATTTGTGTCCTGACCGAACCTGCTCTAGCTTCAGCAGTTAACTTGTACGGCTCTGCTAACACCGTCATCGTCTTCTCGTCCTCCCGATGATTATCACAGGAGGAAGATTCACTCGCGACAAGCACATCAAGATTGAGATCCAACATGATACTTCCTATATATATATGTAATATATGTCCTTTTTCTTTTTCCTGATTTCTTTCTGGTTGATCTTTCAGAGAATAAATAACAATTCTGTTGGTGATCTAAAAAGCATTTACGCCTGGATAAATAATAAATTAAAAACCAGAGAAATCCAGTTGAATAGATATGGTATTTTATGAAGGAAGCAAAAGAGAAAATGGATTTCTCAGCAGTTGATTAATTCTCCGTTGAAGAATAGAGAGATGAGAGGCGAGCCAGAAGAGAATAACGATTTGTTTCCTACCTGAGAAAATAGAGAGCGACAGAGAGAGAGAGAGAGAGAGAAAGAAAGTTTGCTATGGAAATTTATGGAGCAGAGAAGGTCTGTAGGATTACACAGAGAGAGAGAGAGAGAGAGAGGTTGAAGAAGGACAAGTTTGGTGTGGTGTAAGAGTAACTGGCAGAGAAAAGGGAGAGCTAAAAAGGAAAAGAAAAGAGACGGAGACGTGTGAGCAGTGAAGGAGGTTTACACTTGATTCCGGGGCAGTCATTATTCTACTTCCTCCATTTCCATACAATATAAAATTAAAACTTAATTAAAAATTAAAACCTTAAATATTTTTCAATTAAGATTAAAAAAAATTGATATAATTATTAATTTAGTAATTAATATTCTTAAATTAAATTAAAACACACTCTTAAGATTACCCAAATAGAGAAAAATTTAACCCTTTACATTACATTAATCATGAAAAATTAATATATGATTGTTAGATAATATTAATTAATGGGTAATAAGTAAAGTCCATTCGAAATCAAGTGACTCTTTTGCTAAAAACATCACGAGAGATGATTAAATTAGTGGCTTCTTTTTTACCATTTTTGGGGAAAAAAAATCCTAATTATGTTTTTTTTTTTTTTACTTTTCATACCAATTCCTCTCAATTTTATCATATTTGAGTTGAAACTTTATTTAATGTATTTTTACAAAATATATATTATAATTAAAAAATCAAAATAATTAAATTATCATAATTTATCATTAGAATTTTCTACTATTAAATTTTAAACAAAAAATTTGAATTGTTAATTTATAATATATCAAATTCAATATTAAAAATTTATTTGTGAAAGTAAAATTAATATTTTGGTAAAAAAAAAATATGATTGCTATTAATAAATAAAAACAAAAAAATTGTAATTATGAGTCATAACTCCTTGAGCATGAGTAATCACAATTTCCAATGGAATTAATGAGTTGGTGATCCAAATATATTTTTTTTAGCCCACCAAATAATCTGTTTTATAAATTAAAATATTTATACCAAATGTAATAATAAAATTAATATTTTTATTACAATAAAATTTTAACAAAGTCTCATCCATATTTTGGGTTATAAAGATATGGAATTTAAAATTTCATAGTTTTCATTTGGTATAACTCATCCTCATACAATATAAGAAGACATTTACTTATTAGCTTCTCTATGAATCTACACAAAAGCAAGAACGAAAAATGAATATAATATAAGGGCTAATTAAAATGAAAAAAAATATAATTGCTTGGCAATTCACATACATACATACGTACGTACATACATATATATATATATATATATGTGTGTGTGTGTGTGTGTCTACTATAAAGCATATAAACCGATCAAATTTCTTTAAAGACTTATGGAGTACCCTTTCTTTAAATTAAGAGACCCCACAAAAAAAATTATTGATTTGAAAAAAGCTTCGAGATTTGAATATTTCCATTATTGTTGGGTAGCACCAACAAAAAAAAAAAAAGAAAAAGAAAATCTACAAATTGGTCTCTAAGTATTTTCTTAAAAGATGTTTGTCAACATAGGCTGCCAAACAACAAAATTTTCATTGTTATACAATCTACTAAAA